CACACACACACACACTCACACACACACACAGATACACACACACACACCCCGTAACGGACGTGTGATCGGACATAAACAAGTACACTCTAGGCCCTTTCTTCTTTTTCTTTATCCCTGTAGAAGGACATTAACCCTTTAAAGCCTGATCCAAGAATAAAACAAAACAGAAAATCACTTTTTTTTGGTTTGAATTCCTTATTTGGCCTTTTAACAAAATATGTAAAAAGAAAAAACAGAAATACATTTTTGATATTAATCATTTATTACTATGCAATAAGTCAGGATTATGTTTTGTGTAGTCTTCTGCCCCCTGTTATCAGGTGTATCTGATTGTGTAAATTAGGATTTTGAGCAAAGTTTTTACCGTTAAATTATGCAAAAGGTGTCAGACGCAAAACATTTCAGAAACCGTATGAATCAAATATGATACATTTGCCATTACAAGGGTTAAAAACATATTGAAGGATCGTAATTTTCCGTTTTACCTTTTTTCGTTCTTGCATTTTGAAATAACGAAAAAGAGAAAAAGAGACTTGTTTTAACGCGTTATGACGGTAAAACAACAGTATAGCGCCGCTAGATAAGATAAAACATATAAATACATGTTGGAAATGCTAATTAATAAGCAGCATAAGCTGCAAAAATTTAAAAATTTAAAAAATAAGCAGCATTTTTAGCTCTGTTACGCCCACATCTGAATTCACAAACACTTAAAACGACAATAAAATTATAGATAAAATATATAAATACATGTTGAAAATGCTAATTAATAAGCAGCATAAGCTGCAAAAAAATAAATAAAATAAAATAAAAATAAATTTTAAAAAAGCATACGTGTTACGCCCACGTCTGAATTAAAAAACACTTAAAACGAATATAAAATAATAGATAAAATATATAAATACATATTGGAAATGCTAATTAATAAGCAGCAAAAGCAGCAAAAAAAGAAAAATTTTAAATAAAAAAAAAAAAAAGCAGCATTTTTAGCTCTGTTACCCCCACGTCTGAATTCACAAACAATTAAAACGACAATAAAATTATAGATAAAATATATAAATACATTTTGGAAATGCTAATAAATAAGCAGCAAAAAAAATTTAAAATTAAAATTAAATAAATAAGCAGCATTTTTAGCTCTGTTACGCCCACGTCTGAATTCACAAACACTTG